AGGGGCTGAGCACCCTGGCCCAAAAAGCTTAACCTTTTCAATTATGGTAAAGTTGTATCAATCAACCCCAAAAGGTTTAAGGTTACCTACTCCACTACTACGGTAGCCCTTGTGTCCGCAATACAGCCAGCTGTTGGTCAGCTCGAACAACTCAAAGCCTTGGATGAAGTCTAATCTGGGTAGCCCGATAGTTTGAATCAATATCCTGCGTTTATTCTTGTCCCCACCGGCAAGGACAAGATCGCATCCATACAACCGTGTCTACTCGCGCAGGGAACAGATCAACGCACCGTAGTAGGTTCAAGCACTGGAATTAGCCCATAAATCAGTCAAACCGCTGTGCAACTCAAAACAAGATGATTTGTGGCTTTGCCCTTCCATAGGTGGAGCCTTCGGAGAATGTACTAGTGCAGCCCAGACAGCTAAAGACCCTAAACCCTAAATTGCAAAGTGCAAACAAGCTCTTTGAACTGCTGGCACCAATGTGCTTCGGACCTGTGAACTTTCGCATGATACTAAAGGCATAGTTTAAAGTTTAAAGCGGCAACCAGAGACTGGACCGATAGCTACTTCGTTTCGTTTCCTGCGTGAACTTCAATACTGCAGAACCATGTCTCCATACTATTAAACCAAAGATAAGCTGGTGTAGTGTCCAGTTCAGCTCATTTCACCTGCCCATTGGATGTTTTAGATGTCAGGGTTTGGGGTTAGTTTGGTCAGAGCACCTCTGCAACTGGTTACAAGTTATACGGTAGTTGTACAGACAACCTTTACATGCTTGAGTCGTCAACTGTCTAGTCTACACATGAGCAAAACCGGTGCACGCTCTTCTCTGTCTGACGGCTTTATACCCCAAACCCTAAACCCCAAACCAATCCAAGCAACCAATCGGTCAAAATGTCGAGCACAGCTGCGGAGCAAGAACCCAGAAGACTGAGACAGACTGACAACATCCAGGAGTGGGGGTAACGTGGGACCATAGCAACACGTATCCTGCAAACCCTAAATGTTGACAAGTACTGTACCGGGATCCTCTCTGCGCACGTCTCTCGAAACAGGACCCCCAGATTTCCCAGTTGAGCAACCTTGTCGGCTTGCTGGTTGCGGACAGTGGGATCGAGCCTGGGCATCTCGGGATTTCAGAGCTCAGTGCATGTATGTAGATGTAGATATATATATATATATACATCCGTACATATATATATATATATACATACATATAGGTACATACACATATACACACATACATATATATATATAATATATATATATATATATAGATCTTGAGACCGCAGGTTCGGGGGGGTTTACAGTTGGCGTTTATTGTTGCGGAGCTCAAGTTTAGGTGTCGAAATGCCACACCCCGGACCTTCAAATTCTCAAAACTCGACAGCCAAAGACACCCTACACAACCCCACTACAAAACTGCTCGAAGCCTTGCAAATCTCCATGTGGAAACCTGGCAAAGAAATCCTCAAAATTCGCGCAGAACCCTTAGAAAACCCTGTTGGCTTCCTTTTGCACCCTTCAGCTTCCTGTGGAGCCCGTACAAACACCCCTAAGCTTTCTACAGAACCCTTCCAATAAACGTCCTGTATAAGAACCCACTGTTCAAGAACCTTAGCCCCTACCCACTACTACCTCCGGCGGGATTCGCATAATTTAGGTTGCTTCAAAATTAGGAACCTTAGGGTACCCTCTAGCTTTCGCGATCAGGCTCTTGCTGTTTATTGGCTGGAAATGATTTCGTTGTGGCTTGGCTTGTTATGAAAACATCGGAAATAAGAACCTTAGGGGGGATAGGGTTCTCATTTTGGCAGTTGGTGCAACCCCACCCCCACCCCCGCCTGCCGCTGCCCGGGGGCAAAAACGAATTATTGTCTGACACTAATTCGTTGTTGCCTTTGCCACCCCTACCCCCAACCCACCCCCACCCCAGCCTGCCGCTGCTCCGGGGCAAAAAGGAGTTAGTACCTTGGCGAATTCGTTTTTCCATGTGCCCACACCTGCCACCAACCTCACCCCCACCCCAGCCTGCTGCTGCCACAGGGCAAAACGAATTAGTGCCTGACACTAATTAGTTTTTGCCTTTGCCCACCCCTGACACCAACCTCACCCGCAACACTAATTCGTTTTTGCCTTTGCCCACCCAAATACGGGGCAGCGGCAGACAGGGGTGGAGTCTTGTTGGGGGGGGCAGGGGTGGTCAAAAGCAAAAACGAATTAGTGTCAGACACCCCGAGGCAGCGGCAGGCAGGGGTGTGGGTGGGCTTGGGGGCAGGGTGGGCAAAAGCACATGTCAGACACTGATTCGTTTTTGCCCCGGGCAGCGGCAGCCAGGGGTATCCTTGCGGACAGGCGAGAATAGATACCGCGGCCATTTTGGCTCAAGGTACACGCTGTGTCCGAGGTAAGAACGCATTTAAGAACCCTAGCCTACCCTGACAACTCAGCCGGCAAAATCAGAGGTAATGGAAAATTAAATAAGAACCTTAGGGCAGGCTACTCTCGCGGAATGGGGTTCTTATACCGGGATTTCACTGTAATAAAAAAACAAAAAAAGCTACATAACAACTGGAGAACACCCAGTAACTCGGAAGCTTCGAAGCTAAAGCCCCAGACCTTGCAATATCCCCTCCGTAAACTATCGTAATATTCCTAAAGCGAATTAAAGACTATTCCTTAATCAAAGGATTTTGGAAACTCTGGGAACCCTAGACCGTAAACCCTTATAGAACTGTTATAGATCCCTTAACGGAGCCCGATAACTAAAAGCCTTGACTTTCAAGACTTAACCCTGAAATGTAGGTCTCGGTAAATCTTCCGAGCCCACGGCCGCCATGCGCTTTGGGGTCTCTCGTCGGGTCGCCACCCAGGTTTTCAAACCCCCCAAAACCCCTTTGAGGCTGTATGCCTGCGTGCAGTAGTAGTCGTCGGAATATAACCGAGGGGTACTGGTGGAGAGCTGTAGGGCGAGCTTTGTGGGCTGGGGGTTTCGTCTTGGGGACTTCGGGTTGGCTTGGTTGTTCAGCTTGCGATGGCCGGATGTGCCACTTCAGCCCCAAGCCATAACCAGACCCCAACCAGAGCTGCAAAGCTCTGGGGATGCTAGTGCACCGTAAGCTTTTAACTGTAGACCTTGCTAGACCCTACCATTTTAGGGTTCCTTCTTATGATTTCCGTATGTAAGTCCCCCAAAAAGGTAGGCTACTTGGGGATAAGGGTAAACCCTACACTGGAAAACCTTGACCCGAAAACCATGGATGTTAGACTCTCCAACCATACGCTCAACAATCCTCGACCCATGTGAGTTTTATGCTCGGGCTTAATATACGGGATTTTAGTTTCGTGTTTACGGTGCGGGATCCAAATAGTTCTAGGGTCACAAATCAGCATCCCGCTTGCAAGGGCATCACCCAAAGGGTCCTATGTAACACAACTGGGATGTTTATACTTATATTGATCGGAACCGTAATTCTCTTGCACCATGTACTATGACCACCGCACACTAGAAACCCTCTCACATAGTTATGAAGCCGTGCAACAAACACACTTAACACACTTCTAATCAGCACTCTTACAAACTCTATAAATTCGTTTATGCAAAGACCAAAACCCTACCACGGCAGCATCATTTTAGCCCTACCTACAAGCCTCATAAAGACGCGAGGGTGCTGATTTTTTGTCTCATCGTTCTGGGTCGGAGGACTGAGGCGGCAGCGGAAGCCTTAATTTAGGCTCTCAGTGCCTCTGACGGCTCACAGGCCCCTCCGTTGGGACTTCCGTGGTATTTCACCCTTCAAGGATAATGCAGGTCGTGTTCTAATTACCAACGCCCTTGTAGCGTCAGCCGAGGAAGTGACACTTTAACCGAAGACTCCAGGGAGCTAAAAGCCTCATCCCTAAAATGTATGCCGGACTTGGAAATCCCTTGATCCGAGTGTCAATCAGCTGAAGGTTCCGCTATCCACTGAATTATTTTGAGAAACCGCAATGTAGGGGTCATAGTTAGAAACGGGTTGAGTCAAGCGTTTCTGAAAAGTTCATGTGAAAGCCTGCCATATGGAGGACTGAAGTCTAGACCTATAAATTCGCTACATGCTAAGTCGAAAATCATAAGGACCCTATAGTTTACTAGGGGTTCGGGCACTTGGCTACTGTTACATTGTTACATTATAGCAGAGAGCCTGCAGAAACGGTATCCCCCAAAGGATCCTGTTTGGGGATGAGGGCTCAAGGGCTATGGTTCAGGGCTAAGGGCTTTGGGTTCAGGTCTTGTGCTGGTTTAGGGATGGGTTTTCTGTCGGCAACGACTAGGAAGGTTTATGGTTGTGCTGAAGGCACTCTGCCAAAACATCAAAAGAAAGCAGAGCGATCAGCGACCGCCAAGACGAATGATGCTCACCTGAACCTCGCGGAGCAGGCTGTTCGGGCTGCGGGCTCCTTCAAGGGTCTTGGGGTTGAGGGTTGGGGGTTTGGTGTTTTGCGAGCAAGATGGGCTGCACAAAAGCCTCCAACCCCTGTATTGTGAGGTTCACATGGAAATCTTTGTCATCCTAATGGGTATAGATAAATACCCTAGGGAAGTGGTCTTGGATTCGCCTCGGATTTATCCAAGGCCTCTCGATGAAGCTTTGGGAGTTGCCTAGGTTTGGCAAATTAGCAGTCTTGCTAAACCCATCCCGCTAAAAGCATCCAAACCAGAACCGTATTATGGACCGGGGACCGAAACTCGCAAATCCTGCGCCTTACAGCTTCTGAAGCACCTTGCTCTTGCTCTAACTAGTTCCTATTAGAGTTTAGGGGTCAAGGTAAAGAATGGCAAGACGTCATGCATGAACCGGGGGCAGTCGGAACTTCCCGAAATCGGTTGATGCTGCTGCCGCTTCGGCCACACTCTTGAAAACACCCCGAGGGCACCCGAACTGGCGATGTAGAGCACTTGCAATGTCTAATCGGTGTTGAAGTTGTCTCAGGTGAATAAGTGTTTTCCGGCGCAAGCAGCAGTGCTTCCGTCTTGGGGGCCGGAATTGGACTCGTGTGCTTGCAGAAGCCACGGAAACCTCCGATTCCTCGCTGGATCGGCCCCGTCTTCAGAGGGCGGCCCAAAGGGTCCGGTGGCCACATGGAGTTTAGGTTTAGGGTTTAGGGTTTCGAACTCACCAAACCCGATAATCTGATGGGCATTCCAGGCTCAGACATGAAGGAGTTTGGGTTTGATTCAGCACGTCATCCTGTCCTGACCCCTGCAGCCACACATCCGACCTACCTAGGAAAGACATGGAACTCCAAAACCCTAGACGAGGAACCCCAATGTCTCCAAAAGTTGTTTGTTTTGGGGAGGGAGGAAAGGGGGTGGGTGGGTGGGGCAGGTACACTACAAATTTTGCTGGGGGCTGGCAGCCCCGGCACAAAGAGCACATTGCCCTCAACTAAACGAATCTTCAGAAGCCTTCGATAGGAAAGGAAATTGTGTATATTTAAGACAAAATCATAAATCAAGCCATCACATTATATCTTGTCGAGAGAACCTTCCAAGCCCGTAGCCCTCTATATGATCTTGGCAGAACCTTCCGTCTTCCTAGCCCTCTATGGAAATCTGGAACACATGCTTACCAACTACCCAGACCCTAACATCCTAACCGCTAGACGATTCTGCGGTGGACCTGTCCGGTCATCCCAAAAGCAGGTCAATAACCCTTCCTTGGTTGAGAATCAGGGTTCAGGGTCAGATGTCACCTTGGAGACAGGCGAACTGCGGCTGAGCTCAGGGCATTCCCCGCAGGGACATGTGCAGGTCGGCAAAAGCTCCGATTACCTGGAAGCCAACTTACTGACAGAGCCCTAAACCCTAAACCTGAAACCAGGGCCCTAGGGGCTCTAGTACCCTATATAGTAGGTACCTGGGCGGTTATGGAACAGCCCTATACCCTAAACACTAATTAAGCAAACGGGAGCTCTTCAAGGCCAAGGTCAACTTGCATACTCGATCCGAAACCAAACGCCTCAACTTGAAAATCCTTCAGGGTACCATTGGGAAGGTTCTCTCAGGGTTCTATCAAATTCAAACGTTTAGTAAAGGGCCCGTAACGAATATGGTCTTGCGGTGGACTATACGAGGATTACAAGTGCACTAGAAGTGAATACTATAATACTGACAACACATCAATATAAAAATCACATTCACAAAGCCAACAGCATGGGGCGGGCCTGGACTGAAGCTCGTCAGCATCTACAGGCCGCAATCTCCTGTGCAAAAAAAGAGTGGCAGGCAGCAACCTCCTTAGTCTCACGTGCTAGCAATACTGGGGCTCGGACTACAGTCAGATTTTTCAAGGATAGAAATTGAAAAGCTATCGAAACTTGGAGTATGCCTTCTGCGACATGAAGGGCAGCCCCACAGCAAGTTGCTTAGAGAACACCGGCTATGGCTAGATTGGCCCTCTTCGGTCTCAACATCCATAATGCTACCGCCATCCGGAGCCGAAATCCGCGCGTCAGTTCCAAGACTGGCGCTCTCGCCACAAACTCTGAGTTTTAACAACTGACAGAACCGTTGAGAGAAGCCGGTGGGCGGAAACAGGCCGGGCACAGCCTCGAACACAATGTCCCGCGACAACTCGTGCCGACCTGGCTGGACTTCGCAACGGTTCAGGGCAAGGCTATGGACAAAAGAAACTCGGATTTCCGGATTGGTCTTACGGGATCGGGTCTGCGAAAAGGGTCGCGAGTGCAGAGGCCGAAGCTTGCGGATGGAAGCCCGGCAGGGACAACGTTTTGAATCTGCGACTTGTTGGGCAGCCCATCGCCTAGAACCATGTCCTATCTCTCCGCAGCTGCATCTCGGTGGACTTGTGCCAGCGGCTATGCTGTCCACCAGCCGCCCAATTGCTTGAAAGAGCAGCGACCCCCCTCCAGCTTGAATTCATCCTTGCAGCTACTGCAAACTTCCGCATCATGTTCACGGCAAGGTTCAAGCGCTTGTCCATTGTCGCACTTGCACTCGTTGGCCTCACACAACTTGGTGGTCCTGTTCATGTGGTAAAAGTCCTGGCGCTGCTTGCAGACATCCTCCTGGTTGCTGCTTCCCTGGCATGTAGGTTCTACGGTGACTGCAAGGACGTGAGCTGCTTCCCAAGGTGAAAGGTACAGTTTTCCGCCTGCTGCAAGTATGTTCCAATAGGATCGCTCAGATGGGTTGGCTTTCTCGATGCTGATGCATTCAAGGGATTCCAGGCGTCCGGAATCCACTGCTAGCACCAGGATGCAGTCTGCCGCAGCCGGCGCATAGAAGATCTTTCCTCCCGAGACTGCGCCACTGGACCACTGGATGGACTGGCTGAACTTCGGCACAAAGTCATACTCTGCGATCAAGAAAGGATCCTCGAATCTCTCTGTCGATGTGTTAAACACGGAGATCATGCAGAGGGAGTCTGGTGTCGAATACAGGCGGTCGTCC